TGGGTCTATTTCTGGGGTCTCTGTTCTGTTCCACTGGTCTATATGTCTGGGTTGTACCATAACCGGGCTGTTTTGATTACAATGGCTTTGTAGTACAGTTTGATATCCAGTAAAGTGATCCCTCCCACTCTGTTCTTTTTTTTCAAGATGGCTGCAGCTATTTGGGGTCTTTTTTGGTTCCATATAAATTTTTGAAATGTTTGTTCTAGATCTGTGAAATACGCGGTTGGTATTTTAATAGGAATTGCATTGAATCTAAAAATTGCTTTGGGTAGTATGGACATTTTAATGATATTAATTCTTCCAATCCATGAGCGTGGTATATTTTTCCACTTGTTTATATCTTCCTCTGTTTCTTTTTTCAGTGTCCTGTAGTTTCCCGAATATAGGTCTTTTACACCTTGGTTAAGTTTATTCCTAGGGATCTTATTTTTTTAGTTGCAATGGTAAATGGTATTTTTTTTTTTAGTTTCTCTTTCTGGAAGTCCATTTTTGGTGTATAAGAATACCACTGATTTCCAGATGTTGATTTTGTATCTAGCTACCTTGCCGAATTCGTTTATCAAATCTAGTAGTACTTTGATGGAGTCTTTAGGGTGTTCTGTATACAATATCATCCCTGGAATAAATCTCACTTGGTCGTGGTATATGATCTTTTTAATGTATTGTTGGGTCTGGTTTGCTAGTATTTTGTTGAGGATTTTAGCATCTATGTTCATCAGGGATATTGGCCTGTAATTTTCTTTCTTTGTAGTGTCTTTCTCTGGTTTTGGGATTAGGATGATGCTGGCTGCAGAAAAAGAGTTTGGGTGTTTTCCCTCCTCTTGAATTTTCTGGAATAGTTTGAGTAGAATAGGTGTTAATTCTTCTTTGAATGTTTGGTAAAACTCGCCTGTAAATCCATCTGGTCCTGGACTTTTGTTTGCTGGGAGTTTTTTGATCACTGCTTCAATTTCATTAGTTGTTATCAGCCTATTCAGGTTTTCTGCCTCTTCTTGATTCATCTTTGGAAGAGTGTATGCTTCTAGGAATTTGTCCATTTCACCGATGTTGTCCAGTTTGTTGGCATATAGTTGTTCATAGTATTTTCTTACGATCCTTTGTGNGTATTACTTCTTTCATTTCTGATTTTATTTATTTGGGTCCTCTCTCTTTGTTTCTTAGTGAGTCTGGCTAAAGGTGCATCACTCTTATTTATCTTTTCAAAGAACCAGCTCTTGGTTTCATTGATTTTTTTTGGTATTGTTTTTTAGTCTCTATGTCATTAATTTCTGCTCTGATCTTTATTATTTATTTCCTTCTACTTCCTTGGGGATTTTCTTGCTGTTCTCGTTCTAGTTCTTTTAGTTGTTGTGTTAGATGGTTTATTAGAGCTTTTTCTTGTTTCTTGAGGTCGACCTGTAATGCTATGAACTTTCCTCTTAGGACTGCTTTCACTGTATCCCATAGATTTTGGGTTGTTGTCTGTTCATTTTCTTTTTTTGCCAAGAAATGTTTGATTTCTTTCTTGATCTCATTGGTAACCCATTCATTGTTTAATAACATGCTATTTAGCCTCCATGTGTTTGATTATTTTTGAACTGTTTTATAGTGGTTGATTTCTAGTTTCATGGCATTGTGATCCGAGAAGATGCTTGATATGATTTCAATCTTCTTGAATTTGTAGAGACTTGCCTTGTGCCCTAACATATGGTATATTTTTGAGAATGGTCTATGTACACTTGAGAAGAATGTATATTCTGCTGCCTTGGGCTGGAATGTTCTGTGTCAATTAAATTCATTTGATCTAGTGAGTCATTTAAGGTCTGTGATTCCCTGTTGATTTTTTGTCTTGATGATCTGTCCAATGCTGACAGTGGGGTGTTAAAGTTCCCCACTATGATTGTGTTGCTGTCAGTCTCCCCCTTAAAGTCCACCAAGAAATTTTTTATATATTTAGGTGTTCCTATATTGGGTGCATATATGTTTATAAGGGTTATTTCCTCCTGTTGGATTGATCCCTTTAGTATTATGTAGTGACCATCTTTGTCTCTTGTTACAGTCTTTATTTTGAAGCCTATTTTGTCAGAAATAAGTATTGCTACTCCAGCTTTTTTCCCTTTCCATTTGCATGGAATATTTTATTCCATCCCTTCACTTTTAGCCTGTGTGAATCTTTTACTCTCAGGGGGTCTCTTGTAGACAGCATATATATGGGTCCTGTTTTC